AATACAGGACAACACTTGCTCATAAACAGTCATATAAATTACCAGTAGGTCGAATATTGATGCATTTAACTCCAGTTTTACTCCAACAGAAACCTGACACAAATGAATGAATCTTATCTCCTCTCAGCCTAATAAAGTAAAGAGTGGAAAGTCTTTGATTAACATCGCTGTGTGTGTTTAGTAACCACAACAACTGGACATTTTTCTCCAACCAACAGTTGAGTTTTTATATTTATATATATATATATATACTTATATTTGGTCATTTCAATCAATTTCCAGGTGAACTAGTCTCTAAATTTCCAGGTTTTCCGGGACGGATTGTGTTATTTAAGATAAAAACAAGCAGTCATGGAGGAAGAAATATACTAAATTCAGACTTATAACAAAAGTAATAATTTCCACTTTAGATTGAATCAGACGAGGCTGTAAAGAGCTGGAAAGACGAAAAAGGGCACCAGATGACGGCGGCCATTTTGGGCCCCCCTTTTCCCGGTTAGATGGAGTCATCTGATCCCGGGGGTTGCTAACTGCCCTCCATTACGGCTCATATTTCACCGGCGTTGACTGGCAGGCTGATTGAATTACAATGGAGGCGGGGCGGCAGCGGCGGCCAGAACAGGCTGTTTAGATGCAGGTGACCAGCAGATAGAACCAGTGACACCAGTTCTGCTCTGGTGGTAACGAACTCGCGGCGTCTGACACACAGCGGGCTCCTTAGCTACTACCTGCTTTTAAATCTGAGCTTAAACGTCGTGATGTCATTTTCTTGTTCAAGATAAAAGATAATGGAAGATAATGATGCTTAAAACTCACTGTGACATTCATTTAGCCAACAGATTAAATAAAGCTTATATTGTTTTACAGATCTGAGTGAGGAGCTAAAATACAATTAAAACTTTAACAGAGAAACATGGATTATTTCCAGGATTTTGGGGCAATTTAAATCAATTCCCAGGTGTTTCCAGGAGTGGAAAAGACTTTCACTAGTTAGCAACATATGACCGGTTGAGTGTCTTCAGTCAGTGTGTCTTTGCACTGCAGCGCCCTCTATCTGCACCACGCTGTATAGAGAAACAGCAGCTTCGTTCCTTCGTGGTAATATTTCAGATGCTTTTCAATCCGCTCAGTGATTATTTATTAATGGATTTTATTATGCTAGATATAAATTGTTGCACCTTTAATGCTGTGAAGATGGCTGACGGGTCTGCTGCCGCCGCTCCGGGGATGGCGGCCATTAACATGTCATTACACCAGCAATATCAGTAACACAGGGGCGGGCAGAGTGTGTGTGTGTGTGT